ACAGCAGAGGAAAGCGATGTTAGGAGAATGGAGAATTGGTTAGTATGGAGCAGGGATTTATTGTATCCGCTACATACGTCTCGAGTATGAAGGTGGCGGTTGCATATGTGGTAGTCGAGTCTACTGCAGTATTCAGTTCTTAGTTATGTCCATATTGCTTGGATCTCAAGAGGAAGCTCGAACTATTCGTCTTATATAGGTGGTGAGTGTGTACCCAATATCCCATTCACTGTAGGACGTCCAGCGGTACTGTAAGCTATAGCTGAATAGAGTTAGTAAAGTGGCGATGCTTTCGGTTCATCCCACGGAGTAGGCATGAAATTAAAGTGGTAAAGTGTTTAACTTCCAACCAATCTGAGATGGCACAAGGCACAGGTGAGAAAGTTATTCACTTATCAGTTTTTTTTTTATCAGGTTTGACCAATATCGATAAAGACGGATGCGGAAGAACTCTTGCCGGTTTGAGGTTTAAGAATTTATCTGCGGTAAGGAAAGTCCATTAAGAGAATACTGAAATCGAATAATTACTACGACAGTCGGGTCTTTATTTCCGAATATTTATACACATTGTTATCTTTCCAGGGACCCGCGAGCTTTGTAGAAACCAATTTATCGAAAGCTTCCACCCGACAGGTTTTTCAAAAAATAATCTGAAAGTAAGGGAAGTGGTAAACTCCGTAAGTGATTTATAAATTTGCATATAAAGACAACCCAATTTGGTAACGGATCATTGCAGTATATTTGGCTAAAAGGTTTTTAGTCGTCGAAAGAGAGAGGACCCATTTGTTGACGCACATTTCAGTAATGATTGCGTCAGCTTTGTGGACTTGTCTAGGAGATTTTGAAAAGTTTGCTAAGTCAAGAAGTTCGTTATATTACTCTTCTTCCATTCGGCTCGGCCTTACCGAAGATACAAGAAAGAGGAAAAATGAGAGTTGGGCTTAATTTTAGGCCTCATCACATGAATACTATGTACCCGTTGACTGGTCGAGGCGAGTACTGGTGAAGTAGTCTGAAGCTCATTAGAAACTACAAATGTTACTGCTCTCGTCGTCTTGGCGTGTTGCCAACAGGAAATCTATAGAAAGTCAATCAACACCTTTCCTAACACTGTTTGTGTGAATTACATGATTGGAATCCAACCATCAGCATGAACACATAGTAATCCTGGTACAGCTAGGTTATGGATATTATATTATATAAGACCCAACACATATCCAATCCAATAAAGCATACCCAGCACGCAATGAGTCCACGCACGCTATTAACAACCTCTTTGCGTATTCCCTTAAGCCGAGATAACGAACATCTCCCTCCTCTTTGGTACGCACTCTACGAAAAAGCTAATTTCCCGGGCATATGCATATCGAGTCAAATTAAATTACACCACCCTAATATGAATTTGCAGAGAAAAGTTAATAAAGACATCCCCAATATCCGTATCCAAGTACATATGTACGAGTATATTTAACGGTAATGCGAATTAATGCAAAAATGCGGTATGTAAAGTAACACTTGTTTACATATTTGAGCATTTACATGCACACATACATACATACACTACATACATATACACATATTCATAAGTGCCCTAAAAGGCCGCTGGATGCTGATCTGTACTGCACACTTCCGCATAGTGACCCAACTATAACCACGGACAATGAACCTCGAGCCCGGGGAGTTACTTTGGTCAGATGAACGCCTGTTGTTGAGTAGAGTTCACACATTTCTCCTTCTTGATTATTTTTTAATTTAAGATTAATACATAAATGAGGTCAAGTAAAAGTAGAAATGTCGGTAACATAATCGAGTCTGAGCATCATGCGAGCACTGGTTTGATTGCCCAGGAGATCAACGATGTACAAAAGACACCTTGGAACCATTTGAAAAAGGCTGGATATACAGAGAAACTCTATGTGAGGGCGCCACGCGAGTTAACGAAAAAAACCTCATAGATCGAATTTCCATCTGCGAATAGCTGCTTACTCGTGACAAAACTAGGCTAGGGGTAGTGAGCCGGAACAGACAACCTGCAAGCCAGGAATGACGACCAGGAAGAGCATTTTTATGCTTTTTATTGGGCTTGTTAAGGAATCATTCACATCCAGGAGGCGACCGCCAAACCACATATATCGATAGCGACCCGCCAGAAGCACCGTCAGCATGGTTGGGAGGTTCTTATGCATCCACCTTATGGTCCGGACCTCGTACCCAGTGATTATTGAAAAGTCAATAACACTTGTCAACAGTTATTCGCACACACGCTCAATTTATTTATTTTTTATTATTTTTATTTATTTTTATTTATTTTCTATTATTTTTTTGTACACTGGCGGATGCACGGACGGCTGGGTAAAAACTTCGATATGAACCAATTGTATTGTAATATGTGACCGTGTACATATGTATATATGCAGGCATGTTGTTGACAAATTGGCAATCGAACAAAGAACTTTGTTTTAATACAATTTCGCTATGTAAATTTGATGAGATATATCTTTGCTATCTAACGGTGAGGTTTACAAATACCAAATAATGAAGTTCTTTTATAAAAGTGGCAAAAACAAAAACAACAAAATATGTATTGAAAAAACACACAAGATAAAGTCACTTAACAGGCACTCCCGCGCTCTGAGAACAGTCGCAGCAATTCGACAAAAGAGAAATTCGAAATGCGACTTCCGGCAAAGTGAAAATTCGACGAAATTTCAATAGTACTCAATCCGGGAAGGTTCATGGTAGTAGAGAAAAAATCCATGGGGAGAGATATAGTAATTTGGAATGGGGAGTAAGGCGGACTTGCAAGTGTAAAAAGAGAGCTTCCCAGGTTCAGCTCGAAAGTTTAAGAGAAGACTCGCGGCTTATCGAAAATTTCAGGACCGGAAAATTTCCCTATGGGAAGGAAAGTGATTTGCCTACTAACGTGCCGAGTAGACTGAGTTTATGCAGAGCAACTTTTTCCAACCTGATAAATTGAACTCGAACTCTAAATGGATAAATGATAAATAGAAAATTCATTACTTATTATGGAATTCCAATCGTCGGTTGATTAAAAGGCGAGATTGTGGAACTGATCGCGAGTGGTTGGAATCACACTATTTAGCAACCTTATTATGCTGTTCAACATAGCTTGCTTTGATAAACGTTTTATTCTCTTTGACCTGCAAGTAACCATTTTCGTAGGGTTAAAGCTTGGGGCATCGTTAAAGAAATGTCAACTCAATTGGCTGAAAGGCCGGCATTAACAAGAGTAGTATTTCAGGGACTCGTCCCCTTGTGTAGGTAATGTCAGCTGATAACCCAGATTTAGATGCCCCGCCTCTACACTCACAAGAATACTGAGGTGTCTTTTCCTTAGTGCAATTAAGAGTGTGGTCTGCCTTTAATCCAATTTAGAGGTATGCCATATGTTGAAAGAGCAAAGCAGCTTAAGCTCTCACGACAACCGGTTCTGCACTGGTTAAAATCCAGTCAAGAGCTGTCGACATTTCGGCGACCTAATCTCGTTTAGGTCAACTGGTAATTTAAGTCTAAGTGCATCAACAGAGTAACAACTCGCAGCTGAGTTTCTCCAGATCTTCTCAACCCTGATCCGATGGATTACTTCTGCCCTCACTCGCCGTATTTTAAGGTTGCCCCGAGACGAACAATACTGTTTCAATTTAACTGCAATGGACTCCAGGGAAAGATCGACGATTTAGTCGTATTTATGTCCTAGAACATTTAACAATAGCTGCGTTACAGGAAACAAAGATCTTCTAAGCCGGGCTGAGTACAACATCATCCGCAAGGATTTCGAGCGAGACCATGGTGTAGGCTTTGCGTTCATTTTATACAACACCCTGCAGTAGCTTTTCAACGACGGCGACATTGACCGCAGAAATACTAGCCTAGAACGTCAGAGCATTGCTATACGATATGGCGATCTCGAGCTCGAAATATTTAATATTCATTCCTCCAGTTACTTGCTTCCCAGTTGGGTACCGTCCTCATATAGGTGCTTTACTTAGAGGCGAAACCTGTTTTCTTTTGGGTGCATTGTACGGGCACCACGATCTTTCCTATTCTAGCCTGCCAAATGACCGTACAGGCATGGAGCTGACGGAACCGATAGTCGTCGAAACAGCTCGTCTCCTGGACTTCCCATCAGATGATGACTTGTAGTGCTCATGCCTGCTCCATAGCGGAGTTTGTTAAAGCAACATAATCCTACCACGGCTCCAAACTCAACCAGTCTCAATATATTTTGAGCTGCCTTCAAACGGCTAGTGGTTTTTTCAGAGGAGCTTTTATTTCATATTAGAAATTTACTCGAAGGGTTTGAAATTTCCTACCGAGGGTCGTCCGCTATTCGAAAAAGTGATTCTTCTCCCTGCAGTCCATGCTGCTTCTCAGTAATGCCGTAGTATGCCACGCAGAGGATTAGGTCTTTGTTTTCTAAATGTAACCTTCCCATATAACAGTCGTCTCCTATTAGCCCGAAGTCATTAATATAGCTTGTTTGCTGGACCACACGATAATAAGGCCTCAATGATAAAAACTAACTTTGCCTGCTCCTATTGGGGGTTAAGCAAATTTCTATAATAAAAAGAGTAACATGGTCTATGGAGGATCAGGAAGTAAGAAATGATAGCGTTAATTAGCGCTTTATAAACATTGGAGCGATTATCGACCGGGCTCATCCCGTATTCGTGGTGTGTGCCAGCATTGATCTCTGACTCTGTTTTCTCAAACAAAACCAACTTACTAAGTATCGGATTGTGGGCGGCCCGTCATGTCACTGGTTTTCGGTTGGTTCTTTCGATTAGTCTTCAAGTTCACCCCACGGTCATTTGGACAGGGGTGGGCAACTCCCGTCTATCATTCGTCACTAAAAATAAATTGGGGGGCAGTCCTTTGTGTATAAATGCCTACTTTGTTTAGATAGATCAAGTGGAAAGAGATCTGGCTACACTTGGTTGCCTATTGCTGGCTCGGCTACAAAAAAAAGGAGGAAGACGCACATCAAAACTGGTTGTTTATTAACATTTCGTATGTGGTAAATTTCTAAAAATCGAAATAAATACATATGAATGTATAAAAACGCGTCTCCCTCTTCTTTTCACCTTCACACAGTCCATTCCGCTGACACATTTGCTACCATAAATTACGCGCGAATTGCACAAGCATCTCCATCTTCGTCATGGGCAGCTCTTCCTTGTTATACCAGTTGGTTAGCAGACGTAAAATACCGCCCAACATATCGAACATGCCCTCCAGTTCGAAGAATATCGAAAAGAGCCAGGAAACAACTGTAATCAAGGTGATTGCAGAAGCAATGCTGCGCAGTTCTGAAAAAAAAACGGTAAAAATATTCAAAAGTCAGGGAATGATAGCTACTAAAGAGCGAGTTCTTTCCACATACCCGAGTAGTTTTTAAATGGTTTCTTTTCACGTGGCAACACTCTCAACGGTTGTCGTCGTGGACTATCCAACATATCACCGATCGTTTCACGGCCTACATAACGTCGTGGCAACTGAAGCGGTGGCACCAGCGGCGACGGTTGATACGGACGTGGTGCTAAGGCAGAACTACTGGTAACACTCTCAGTTTGGGTCTGTGCATTCGTATGGGGTAAGACAGCTTTTGCCTTCGACTCGTCACTGAAGAAGCGTGTGGGAATTTTATCAATATTGCGTGGTGTGAAAATGGGGCGCATCTTTTGGTTGGAATGACGACGAGAACCCTAAATGAGAAATGTGTTAACGATAATTTCTCAATGCGATTTATTTCTCTCACTCGCACGCATACTTTGGAACGTTTGGTGGTAATGAGACGGGAGCATTCATTTCCACAACCTGAGATTTTCGTCGAAGAAGCCACATTAATGGGCATTGAGTGTACCTGAGAACATTGTGAGGACCCAGTGAATGGATTCAAACTCGTCTGAAGACTATCTTCTTCCAAATGTATGGAATGCTTCTCCCCCGTTTCGCTTACTGCCACCGCACGGGGTCCTTCGTGCATAACCCTAATGGAAATTTGGAAATATTTTACAAAAAAAAAAAAAAAAACAACTCGTCTTAAAAACCAAACTTCACTTACGTATCGCCAATGAAGTTCATCTTCGAGCTGTGTATGGCCATGGTATATGGGCTGCGTTCATTTTGAAACAACTCCGTACGCGGACTAAGCTGTATGAGATTAATGGCGGAGGGATCGGTGACAAAACTGCCAGTTTGTTTTCTGTGAGAGAGAGAACCGGCTGTTGAGTTAACGGTGAAATGTATTTTCTCTATAGACACGTGTACTTACCTTGGCTTAGCGGACATTTGGCGGTATTTTAAGAAAGAAAAGATTGAAAGAAAATATGTTTACAAATAAATTTTTTATTCATATAAAAAATATACCAAGTTTTTTTGATTTCAAATCAAGACAACTTTATGAAATTTACTGAAAGGAATGCTAATTATTCTGACTGGAGTGTGGGGAACAAATAAATATATGTACATACATAAATGTCTAAAGCCTAAGAGTTTCAGCCATTCTACTTCCTCCTCTTCGGCGTAGGCACTGCAATCGTGACTATTGCCGATTTAAAAGTCGATTCTTCTTTTAGCCATTAACGCTAATGAGAGGGACCAAGTGAAATCAGGTCTCTCTCCACTTGATCATTTCACCGAGATCGAGGTATTTTGCTTCTTCTAAAGCAATACTTTTTTTATAAGTTGGTCTTTTCGACAACTGTTCCTTGATTTATACCCGTGCATTGCGTTCAATATTCTGACCCCCAGCAGAGCTGCTATAAAGCAGAGTATCAAAGACAGCCCGAATAAGTCGTCTCGCCATCGCGCGCAAATATTAGAGCTGCGCCCATCCAATTTATACTAAATTTTTCGAAAGTATCTTGATTTGCGGACTGTCAAAAACCAACCCTTGCTAGAATTGAAACTGAACGACCATTAAGCGCGTCGCACGTTCGACGAATGGTCCAAAAACGTGAGTACCACCAATCCAGATTTTCGCAAGAATATTTTTTTCCGCGATTTTCAAGCAAAGTTGTCGCATTTGGACTGATGATTATATCCAATACATTGCTGAGACGCCGTACATCCTCACGAAGTCATCGTTTCGTGAGATTTCTTGGCCGAGGGAATCATTGGTTCATGGTTCTTTAAAAACGAAGACAACTGTAGTGTTAAAGTCAATGGAGAACATATATAGACTTATTCGTGGTTGAGTTGGATGTTGATGTGCGCGAAATTTCGTTCCAGCAAGACGGGAATTCACTCCATACAGCCAAGGAAACCATCAATTTATTTTGAAAATTTGGAAGAACTTGTTGTGTTTCAATGTGAAGTCGCTTTTCTATGCAGATAAATCCGAGACGATCATTTTTAAAGCATAATAGAATTTATCTTTATAATAAAGTTGAATTCTTTGCTTGATCACAAGAGATATTTCTTCTTGTACTCATTCACCACCAGAACCATTCGCCTAGCTTCCTTAAGAAATCACCTTGTCTGAAATCAAGTTCAGTATCGGACGGGTCGGAGAGGTTTTCCAGATTTAGGCGAAGCTTTTGCTGTAACTCAGCGCCAATTTATACAACCGTGTAAGTTTCGTGGGGATACTGTATACGACCAAGGCTCTATTCCAAAACTTGACGTGTCTGTAGCAATACTGATAAGTTCCAAGTTCCAGTTCGTTGACAGTTGGGTTTAGTGTTTTACACCGTACACTTGATAAGACCTAATCTACAACAATGCAGTGGCCTCTTCGTTATTCTTTAAGCGTATAATCGCTATTCGAACTAAATCATAGTTGACTGATGAAAAGTTTAGGCCATCGTCATCGATTGAGGATTCGGCTTAGCCATTTTCGGGTGTTTGATTTCCAGTACAGTTAAGCAGGCTGAAGATGTTTGCACTCCATAAACTCAATATACTCTGGACATCTGTCACCAGATCACCACTTCGACGCTCGCAAGAGTATGCTCAGGTCTTGAATCCTTATGAAAGTTGCTGCAATTTTTCAGAGATTTTTAAGTATTACGACCAGTTTGAGACAGCAAATGCGCCTCGCCTCCCTTTGAGGCAGACAGTTTTTTTATATCATGAATTGGTTAATTATTTTGCTCCGAAGGATGTAAGTAGCAGAAGAAAACGAGGTAGACCCATTAAAGTGTATACCGATCGAGTCAGAGTAGAGAGGGCAAATGAGTTAGCAATAACCGTCTGTCCGCCTGTTTGTACACATAATAGTTTCTCGGTTTTTGAGGTATTTCAACCGAACTGGGTATACGAATCCACTGAAGCTTTGATTGAAACTCTTTCGATGGTTTCGTTGCTTGTAAGACCGCAAGGCCGTTCAGTTCAAAGTGAACGTTGTCCAGATCAATAAAGTTGAATTCCGACCATGAAAAATTTGTAATCATCCCTCGATAGCACAATCCATTCATTTTCGAAAAAGTAAGATCCAATCATTACACTTTGAGAATGGGGAGACTCCTCAGCAATAAGTCATGGCTTTTGCGAGCACCAGGTGAGACAGTTTTGTTTATTGACCTCATCCGTCAAGATGATTAAAGTCCATCACCAACGTAAACAGAAACTCGCCATGTGATTTTCTTCGGGCTTTGGCGTAATTTACAGTCAATACGAATATTCTGTAATTGCATATGGGATGTTTGCACCTTCTCTAAAGACTATTTCTAAGTGGTTCCGAAGATTCCAGACCGCACATTTTTCCATAAAGGACCGACAATGGTTGTATCGTAAATATTAAGTAATCGTCTGGGATACACGAGGAAATCTGCTCGATGGATATCACCAATCTTAAATGAGGCTCAAAAAGAGGCTCGAGTGCATTTTGCTCAATTTTTCCTAAACAAATTCGAAGATGGTCACTCTAGTAACTGGTGACGGATCTTGGTTCTATAAGTACGATCCAGAAACCAAACAGAAACCATGGTATGGAGTCTAACACGGCAAACCCACCCGTGAAATCTAAGCCACACAAATCAGCAGCGAATGTAAGGATGTCAGTTTACTTTACCCGATCTAAAATCGTAGCTGGCATTCCACTGGAAAATGGACAGACGGTAACTGCGAAACGGTACACTGAAGAGGGATTACCAAAGGGTTTGAAAAATTCGTTTGGAAACAAGAAGAAAGAGGATTTGCGGCGCTACTTTTTATATTATGACAAAGCTGAAATAATGAGTAATTTTATTGCGATCTCTGGGACCGAAGAAATACGTCCAGCACCTTATTCAACGGATTTCTGGTTAGACCTAAAAATTAAAAAAATTTAAAAGGAAAGGTCTTTAATAGCAACGAGGAAATAATTAATGCGGTTAATGCTGAACTTGACAAGCTTAAAGGGCACACCTAGTGACAAATTTGAAAAAAATTAATCTTTTTTCATATTTTGGTAGATTACACCTTTTAAAATAACATATTAAAATTTCAAATCGATATCTTAAATAGTTTTTGAGTTATAGCAATTTAAAGAGCAACCGCTCTTCAGCTAGAGAGTCTCTTTAGCTACGAGTGAAAACGATCATTTTATCTTTAAACAAAAACAAATGATCGGATCACTCTCGAATTTTTTTTACATGTTCTATATATATTGTAGTTCTCTGACGATTTTTGATGTGATCAAAAAATCAACTTTTGACAATCTAAAAACGGCTAAAATTTTGGGTAAAATTCGACTATTTTTTTAAAACGCCGCCATATGGTTAATTTCTGATTTTTTATATCGTAAACCATTGCACAGACAATATAATCTAGAGAGAATTTTTTTTTTAGATTTCATCCACGGAGGAGGGCGGAATCACTGCAGCAGTGAAGGACCTCTTTTTTTCGCGCCGTTGAAGATCGACTATAATTTAAAAAATATTTAATTTTTTTGTTCAAAAATTTCACTATATATTCTTGAAACATTATAAATATATTCTTAAAATTTTGAAATAATTGATAAAGTATTTTTTTTTTTTAAAGTATAAAAAATCACCTGTTTTTTAGGCCATTACACTAGGTGTGCCCCTTACAAAGCAAAATTTTGACAACTGTTCCCAGAAGTGGATCTATAGGCATAAGAAGTGCATTGAAATCAAAGGCGAAGGGAAAATAAAAGTGGACAAAGCTTACGAATAAATATAAAAATAATCTCTTTTTCTGGTCAACTTACCGAAGATATGTTAATCCCCTCATACATACATACGAGATTATTAAAAATTAACAAATTCGATTCAGCACTTTTTGAGCAGATTAAAAAATAATAATTTTAATAAAAAATTTACGACAATTTTTTTTCGCAAATTTTATGTTCATCAGCAGACGGAACCTACTAGTTTATGCACATACGTGTATATAAATATGCAGCTTGTAAAAGTATGTCAATCGATTGTTTGTCATCATCATCGATTAACAGGAAATCAATTTGCACAAAAACGATTAGAAAAACACATTACGATTCGACGCGTATATTAAATGATGTGTATGTATTAAGAGAACGCATTAATGTTGTCAACAATTAAATTGGCTATCAATTACGTAGAATAAACAAAAAACGGTTATCCGTGTGCTCTACAAACCCACAATTTATGCAAATATATACCGCTCAGTATGTAAATGCACAACAACATAATACAATTATGTAAAAAAGAAATCCGTACAATACTTCAATACTTGAACCATACGTGTACCGGTTTCTATCAATCAACACAACAACGATGACGACAGTTGGCGTCGGCTGGCGTCGGACGGACGGAAGCGCCATAATTGCGATTACTGCGACATTCGTCATATGTTTGGCGCGCCGCGTCGCGCCGCAGTTCATGCCAAACAGAGGCGCAACTGCCAGCGGAATCGGTGGAAACCTACGAATATGCGGAACAAAACAAACGATGAAATGGAAAGAACGTAAAAAATACAAATTTTTTTGCATGTGTGTGTATTTGGCGATTATATGTATATTTACATAAGTTTGCATGCATATAAATATCTATGTATGTACTCGTATGTAGTACATGAAGGCAGCGAGTATCCGGTGATAATGTTGGTCACTCGCTCTTCCCGGATTCCCTCAAATACACACCGCTGCGGCTGACTACTTGCTGCTTGGCTGACCGGCAGCCGGCCGGCGCGATCAACGAGCCGGTAATTGTTGGCGGAAGTATGCGATCAAAACAATGCGCAATGAGAAGCAAATCAGCAACAAGTAAGTACAATAAACTCAAAAAAACAATAAAAGAACAGCAAAGCATGGAAAGAACAGTATTAAAGTAAGAACAATGGAAATTGAAAAACAATACACAGCGGCTTTTAGCGGATGAGCGAATTGAGATTGATGAGTAGAAAGAGGAAATTAATCACATTAGGGTTGTACAAAAATATTTTGAAAATATTCCAGACATGAAAAAGATGGCGTG